ACAAACCTAATGGAGGCGTACCTTTCCAGATTCTAGCTGAAGATTCATTTTCACAGACGCCCACAGACAAACCTAATGGAGGCGCACCTTTCCAGATTCTAGCTGAAGATTCATTTTCACAGACGCCCACAGACAAACCTAATGGAGGCGTACCTTTCCAGATTCTAGCTGAAGATTCATTTTCCATATTTGGTTAAGTGATGGCAGACTCCCACAGACAAACCTAATGGAGGCGTACCTTTCCAGATTCTAGCTCACGATTCATTTTCCATATTTGGTAAGCGATGGCAGACACCCAAAGACAAAACTAATGGAGACGTACATTTCCAGATTCTAGCTAAAGATTCATTTTCCATATTCAGTATGTCGACTTGTGAGCCCCACAACGAACGTACCCTCAGTGTGAACTGCACCTGCCTTGAAAGACAGCAAAATGATCGTTGTATCTATCCATGTTTTGGGCATCAATACATATTACATTCTTATTTTGGAGAACCCGCCCTCACAAACTTTCTCCTTCTCTTAAAATTTGTTATTTCGGCTGTGGAGCATAAGCCCGAAAAAGTTTTCCCCGGCCCATCTCTGAATTTTGGTAGGGCACAGGAACTTTGATTCAGCCCCCTCGCGACTGTTTTTTATTTTGGGAGGACGGTCCGAGGACCCCAATATTTAACCCTTGCGGCGCACGGCGTGCGCACCCCACGTGCGCAATGTGCCACGCATGAAGGACTGGCACACACGTGATGCGCGGCAAGTATGCTCTGGACTATTGCCACGACAAAAAAGAGCGGGAGAGAGCAGAAGGTTTTGGGGGCAAAGTGGGGGGGGGGGGGGGGGGGGGGGGGGGGGGGGGGGGGGGGGGGGGGGGGGGGGGGGGGGGGGGGGGGGGGGATAGGATGATACTGACCACTAACCTCAGCCACGTCAGCAGAGATCCGACGTGTAATACCCAAGGAGGATATAGCAGAGGGAGGATCACCCCCCCACGGTGACGCATCCTGTCGGCTCTTCTCTAATGCAGAGAGAGGTGGTGGCTTTACGCTCCCATCCGCCTTTCCAGCAGGAGCATAAGCAGCAACTGGCTGCCTAGATTTCAAACTGGAGTCGGACTCTCCTTCACTTGGAGTTGGGTGAGGAGGGAGTACGAGAGCGAAAGAGAAATCTCCCGATCGAGGGCTCCGCAAAACTCGAGAGCTTCCCATCGACGGTTGAGAAAGAGTTTGATCGGAGTCCGTCCTCTTGTACTGAGCCATGCACCTGGACGAGATAAGCAGAGAGAGGGAGGGAGGGAGGGAGGGAGGGGAAGAGGGAAGACGGAGGGAGCGAAGGTGGAGCAAGTTTAAGGCGACGGCGGGGTTACATGTGAACGACCGCAACAGCACAACAGTACGGCCAACGAGAGATGCGCAGATAGAGGGAGGGCGGGAGGGACGAAGGGACGGAGAGAGGGAAAGACGAAGGGAGCGAAGGTGGAGCAAGTTTAAGGCAACGGGGGTTTCGCACGTAAACGATCGGAGGAATACCACGACAGTCCGACCAACGAGAGAGGAGCAGATAGAGGGAGGGCGGGATGGTGGAATGGACGGGGAGAGGGGAAGCGGGAGGGAGCGAAGGGGGCGCGTGTTTAAGGCAACAGGGGTTTCACGTGTGAACGAACAACAGCACTACCAACGAGAGGGGGAAGACGATGACAGGGCAAGGACAAGAAGACGTAGCAGGGGAAAAAGTACAAAGAGGGGGAGGGGGCAGGGGGGGGGGGGGGGGGGGGGGAGATCGCCGAGAAATGCCAGGCACAGGGAGACGAGGACACAGCAGGCAGAAGGAACCTCGTAAGGACAGCAGATCACAAAAGGCTGTGGCAGTCTCGTACTATATTAATTCGCTCGCCTTTTTTAACCTGAGAGGCAGTCTCGTAGTATATTAATTTACTCGCCATTTTTATAATTTCATTAAAATTGATGAAAAGAGACTTAAAACAATTAGATTTATTACCTTTTAGAGACAAAGAAAAAGAAAAGTGGCACACTGGACAGATTTAGCGAAAACGCAGCCCTAGAGAGGACGGGCCGACAGGCAAACGAGACGGCGGTACTGAGACAGAAAAAGAGAGGGATGCAAGGAGGTAGGGTGAAATAGGCCAGGATTTAAAAACAGATTGACGGGGCAATCAAAAGACACACAGCAATCACACCCACACACACACAGAGAGAGAGAGAGAGAGAGAGAGAGAGAGAGAGAGAGAGAGAGAGAGAGAGAGAGAGAGAGAGAGAGAGAGAGAGAGAAAGAGAGGAACGCGCATGAACATGGTGACTGACTGGGGGAGAAAAAGTAAGAAGTATAATAAGGCGAAGAAAAGAGTATCATGAGGCAAAGAAAAGAAACAAAAGGAGTCCTCAGCACACACCGAACGGGCCTTTTGAGCTTCTGAACGCGGAGGAGAATGTGGAAGGCCTTAGACAGCGCAATCAGTGTCTTAGAAGGGGGCACAGAGGCAAGTTATCGAGCTGGAGATAGCAGAGCTGGAGGCAAATTATCGAGCTGGGAGAATGAACAAGTCCAACAGCTACAGAGGAGGAGGTAGCAGAAAAGTTTTGTTCCAAGGGGATATCCCCTAACAACATTATTATCTGTTCGTCAACAATTGCATCAATGTACTACGTACCATGATTAGGTCCCATGAGCTGGGTAGAAAAGGAGAGATCTCCAGGTCGGGATTGTGAGGACCCCAACCGACCTCAATCGTTCAAAAAGCGCAATCCAAATATGTGTGTGTGTGTGTGTGTGTGTGTGTGTGTGTGTGAGAGAGAGAGAGAGAGTGTGTGTGTGTGTGTGAGAGAGATAGAGGGAGGGGGAGAGAGAGAGAGTGTCTGTGTGTGTGTGTGTGTGTGAGAGAGAGAGGGAGGGGGAGAGAGAGAGTGTCTGTGTGTGTGTGAGAGAGAGAGAGAGGGAGGGGGAGAGAGAGAGAGAGAGAGAGAAGATGCTCAATGCTTTCCCCCTTTTCTTTGTTATGTTTCCCCCTCCTGTTTACCCAAATCAATTAAACGAAAAAAATTGGCCACACACTTGGCCAAGAAAAACGTTTCTATGTGATCGATCGACACACACACACGATCGAAACAGAGCCGTTCGTTCGTTTGTCTGTCTCCGCCATAGCCATGATCTGCAAGGCTACTCCACAATCGCTCCTGTGCTACTCATCCTTGCGGAAGATCCAAAAGGCTATTCATTCCCACAAAAAAAAAAAAAAAAAAAAAAAAAGCTATGGCAGAAGCGAAACGAACACGTGGCTATTCTCCGTGTGGAGAATCGAAGGCTACAGCCATAGCTATTCTTTAAGCAAGGCTATTCAGAATCCACAATATAGCTTCTGCAGAATCTGAAGTACATCTCCGTGCGGAAAAACCTCGAGACATTTTTTTTTTTTTTTTTTACCTAAGCATCAACCGACAGCGACGCTAAGGAGAACCCTCGGCCGCATCGCGCTGCTAACAAGCGGGAGCTCGATCCAGCAATGGCGAGGCCGATGCATGTAACATACTAAGATTCTATCTGTCTGTCTATGATAATATATCTAATTATAAAAAATAACAAGAAAAAAATCTAATTACCTAGAACAACTAGGGAAAAAAAAAAAAACAAGTATATATATATCGTCACAAACAGATATATATCAGAAGAATCGACTCACCCCTGGGATCAGTGAATATGTACAATGAATGCAACAGCAGAAGACTCCGCAAAATGCATGTTCGAGGTGTCCGTCAAATCACGAGTTCACGAACCCCTCGTCGCGAATACAGGGATACTTCCCGCAGATGTCGGGTCATGACATGGTCGCAGCAGGCCTTCGCTTCGCCCTCGACCTGCTGCAAACAGGTCCCACACCAACGACAAGCCTGTCCCGCTCTGATCGGACAGTCCATCCCTCCAATCAGCATCACACAACGCGGATCGGCACCGGTACAAATCGCAGAGAGGCCTCCTCGTTCTTGTCGATTCCGCACTCGGCTCGAGTAAACCAATGAAATGGAAAGTTCTTTTCCCCACGAGTCGGTCGCAATCAGATTGCCGGCACCCCGTCATTTCTTGATCACCGTAGTCCATGGGATGGCTGACAGAGTGATGCTGGCTGCGGATAAAGAAAAGTTAAAAAAACATGTTTAATATTGTCTACCTGGGAAGAAATAATAACATACATGAATAGAGAAACAAAAGTAGAAACATCTCCTTGTCCTCCGGCTGGCTGTTCTACCTGAGGGCGGGTGGAGTTCCACCAAACTTTCACGTCGATGAGGACAAGGATATTGTCTCACGGCGCCAGCAGCACTGCCTCAGTGATGGCTCTCACATGCTCAGCTGCAGGAAAATATATTTAGTTAAATGCCATGTTGCAGCTTCACACTCGCCGCCTAAGTATAACTTGTTCCCCACACTACAGAAAAAGGTCACACCGTACGAGAGTACACCGAACGTACTCGCCAACCCGAACTCAATTGTCGAGTGGGGCAGGCATCACGTAGGCTACCTTGCTTCCCTGCATTAAATCCGAGCGAGCGAGCAAGCGGACCACGATGTCGAGCGGCCATACTGATTTGTGGGGCCGGCAACGAGCAGCTCCCCTCCTGCCCTTCATTTTTGCCCTTCATTTTACAAAAATGAACAAGCACACAACAACCAATCCACCACCGAACACAGATTCGTGAGGTCGGCAATGTCCAGCCCTCCTGCGCTTCATCGGAAGACAAGCAAGCAAGCGGACAACAACCGAAATCCAGCGGCCGCGCTCGACGCTGCCGCAACGTTGAAGGCATTCTTCACACCCGCACAGCCTCCCTCCCTTCTTGCCCTCCATTCCAAACGACAAGCGGAGGACAATCTCCTGCCGGCGGCCATCCTCCGCAACACGGAACACGCTTTTCGCAGCAATCCAGCGACCATACTCAACACCGGCACAACTTGAGCACCAATTCAAAGGGGGGAGGGCAACGTGTAGCCTCCCTCCCTACCCGCCCTCCATCAAAATCACACAACTGGGGGCCAATCTCCAGTCGCTGTGGCAATATTCCACACCGCCACAGCTCGAACGCGAATTTGCGGCCCACGCAACACATAACCCCCACATAACCCCCACAACTCGAACGCCAATTTCAGGGAGGGCAGGCAACGTGTAGTAGCCTAACCTCCCTACCTGCCCTCCATCAAAATCCAGCAACTGGGGGCCAATCTCCAGCGGCGAAATTCACCACCGCCGCAGCTCAGACGCGAATTTGTGGGCCAAGCAACACATGGCCCTCTTGCCCTCCATTCGAAAACCGACGAAGTGAACGACACTGGCAGCCGCCAGCTTCCTCACCTCCGCAACTCGGACCACACTTTTTTTAATTTTTACGTTTTAACACAATTTGTGTCGTTATAAAAACGACCGACTGGACGAACAATCAAGCGGACATTTTCAACACCGCCGCAACCTGAACACAATTGTTTGACACAATTTGTAATTGTCCCCCCCCCCGCCCCCCTCCACCTCTGCCCAGCTACCCTCCCTCTTAGATTTTTTTTGTTTTTTAATATAATAATAATAATTGTCCCTCCAGAGTCCAAACTCTTGGACGCGCATACTACACACACTTTTCCTGCCCTTTCTCTGAAGACTCAGTAGAATGTTCGCCCCCTGAAACTTAACCACACTGGTCATGGGGGAACCCTCGCTGCGCTGTCCATGAGACATCACAAAAATACCAGTATAGAAACGGACCTTGATACATGCTCTCTCTCTCTCTCTCTCTCTCTCTCTCTCTCTCTCTCTCTCTCTCTCTCTCTCTCNCACACACACACACACACACACACACACACACACACACACACGATACATGCTCTCTCTCTCTCTCTCTCTCTCTCTCTCTCTCTCTCTCTCTATCACTCACACACACACACACACACACACACACACGCTGTCGTGTGGATGGGATCTGCAGACGTACCTTTTCCCTCTGACAGGGCCTCGCTCCACTCCTCGACATTCGACACATACCTGGACATCCCCCCGAACCAAATACATTCGGACTGGACTGATAGAACATTTCGAATGTATAGGACACCCGCCGCATCCAGATCCATTTACAATGCCGTGCAGTGGAGCGCAGCCCATAGAAGAGAAGACGAGAAAAGACCCCACAACCACAGCACAAACAACAACGAGTATACAAACCACTTCTGGACGCGGCGGTTGCCCAGATCCACTGCACAGCACAAACATTGTAAATGGATCTGGTCGAGGCTACTCCACAACACACTCCAACCAAACAATACCTAACTACATTGATCATCTCGCGCAAGTCCGCCCAGTAGGGGAATGCCTCCACACCCACACCCCCCCCCTCTCACAAACCAGAGAGTGCGAAATATTTCACCCACTCAAGCTATAGCTAACTGTCGCCACACTTCAACGGTTAACCGGGTTGCAGAGAATTACATCATCTACCACCCCTCTCCCCAGTACCTCTCTCTCCCAATACTCCTCTCACTCCCAATACTCCTCTCACTCCCAATAACCCTTTCTCTCTTCCAATAATCCTCCCTCCTGAACTATTACTAGTCCGCACCATCTGAAAGGAACATATCACCTCCACACACTTGTCCTCTCAGAAGCGCTTTCAATCCATGTCGCCCTCTCCCACCTAAAAGACAACGTCTCGAAGCTTACCTGGCCTTGACCGTCTCCCGTGGATCCTCAACCCCGCCGATCCCGACTCTCTCTCTGTCGAGCGGATACCGAGTGCGGTGATCCCAATTCCCTGTCGGGAGCCCGATTGCGACGTCTCTCTCTCTCTCTCTCTCTCTCTCTCTCTCTCTCTCTCTCTCTCTCTCATGAGAGACCTCTCCACCTAAAACCACGTCTCGAACCTTACCTTACCTTGATGTTACACACACTCTCTCTCTTATGAGTCACAGATACGCTCCCCCTTCCATCTCCAAACTTTTCATCCTCTCCCCTCTCTCTCCTACTTTTCAAACTCCAGTCTTTACAATCATATGTCAGACCGGGCATTGCCCTGTCTGTGACCCCCGTTCTCTTTTGTCCCTTCTCATCATCGTACGATTCTCAGTCTGCGCCGCGACCATCGTTCCCTCCTCACACATGTTCGCTTTCCTCAGCATACATGCTCCTTCCTTCCTCCATTCTTGCCTTATACACACAGAAGACAATTGACTGGAAGAACATAACCTTCTGAACACTTCTCTCCAACCAACAGGTCCTGAGCCGCACACCGCCCATCATGATGCAAGAAGAAATGGCGCCTTCGCAGCCGCCTTAGGCAGCGCTGCATCTTCCCTCCCACTAATTGAAAGACTCGCACTCACACGCCAAAGGGAAGGAAAGGGAGCACGCAAAAGGCGGACAGAGGAGGGGAGACTCGCTCGGCACCTCAGCGTCAAACAAACGGTTAGAACGAAAGATAAGAAGGCCCTCCCAGTCCCTCTAAGAATGAGTTCCGCAACACCTCCCCCTCCTCCTCCTCCTCGCACCTCTCAATTGCACCCCGACAAACTTGTGCATCCATGGGGGGGAAAACAGAGAGGGGTGAAGAGAGAGAGATGGGGGTCCTCGCCACAAGCGAGCATTCATTGCTTTCTTTAACGATGGTGGCTTGTGCTAGTAATGCACGCAGGGGTCCCATGTGACCCCCCCCCCCCCCCCCACCACCAGACCCTAAAGGACCCTCTCCCGTAAACCCCCCATGAAGGGTGTAAGCCATCAATAATTCCCTTATAGGGAGAAAGAAATGAGCGGGGGCGAGAGGGCTGGCTCTCTTCGCAAACGAACAAGTTTCAGCATTTATTTTATTACTTCTTTAAAGATGGCTTGCGGTAGTACCGCATAATCCCCGAGAACCCCCTGGTCCATCCATTCCCCGGTTCCAATCCATACCTGGTACCACTCGCTGACTTCCTCAACGACGACGACGACGACGAAGGTTTCTCTACACTGGATGGAATATCGATCGACTCATCCGTGTCCCACCTCTTGCTCGAGTTGAATCCGTCCTGCACCGCATCGCGGCGTTGTCCTTCTCTCACAGACCCTCCGTGCAGTATCTTCATCTCCCTTACTTCTGAAACATCACCGCTTTCATCCGGATCCCATCTCCTGCTGAAGTCACTTCCCTCGTCCTGCTCGTCCGGGAGCTGTCGCACTTTTGCTGACGCGCCTGAGTGCAATACCTTCAGTGGATACGGCGACGGTGACAGCGGCAGGAAGCTCATTTCTCGCTGAGGTAAGCTAAGCACTTCTCCAACGGAAAGCACCTTCCTGTCGGACTGTCGGCTCTCTTCAAAGAACAGCTGGATGTGTGTCTCCGAGTCCAAACCCTTCATCGGCTTGTCGAGATCGTCACGGAAGAGTTCCAGAGGGTCTCCTGGAGATACAAAGGACGTGTTGAACCAGAAATAAAACAAGGACCTGGACGACTGCTCGAGCGCAAAAACAACAACAACAACAACAACAACAAACACCCTTTTCACACCACCCAGCAGCAGAGTTCGCCCCCATGCCACCCAAGCAACAAGCCCCACACGAACAAAAACAGCAGGCACACAGCACAAAGCAACACACACAGAAACATGCACAGATACCCGTTATCAACTTGTCACAAAGAGAGAGAGAGAGAGAGAGAGAGAGAGAGAGAGAGAGAGAGAGAGAGAGAGAGAGAGAGAGAGAGAGAGAGGTGCTAAATTATTCGATCCAACGGGATTTGAGCTGTTGATCTGTTTATCAACACTTGTATGTGGCACACCATTCATCCACAACGTAGGTATATTGTACACAAGAGAGAGAGAGAGAGAGAGAGAGAGAGAGAGAGAGAGAGAGAGAGAGAGAGAGAGAGAGAGAGAGAGAGAGACACCCACAACGTAGGTATATTGTACACGAGAGAGAGAGAGAGATATTGTACACAAGAGAGAGAGAGAGAGAGAGAGAGAGAGAGAGAGAGATTTAAAGAGGGAGTTGGGTCTTAGCATTTCGAAGAGGATTCGAACTGTTGATTTGTATACCAACAGTTGTATGTGGCGCATCATTGCCCATCGTACTGCCTACACTCTCCCATTCCCCAGGTTCTGTGCTCAAGCCCTTCTCTAAGGACTGAGCGGCACAACTGATACGCTATTAGCAAAGCAAATTTCTTCCGGATGCTATCTTCACGTGTACCCAGGCCGCGGAGTCAAACGAGACGACCCACAACCGTCATGTTAGCAAAGCAGATTTCTTCCGAACGCTATCTTCCCATGTAGCCAGGTGGCGGAGTCGAACGAGACGAACCACAACCATCATGTCGGAGGTGGCAAAAGCAAAGAGTCCGAATCGAAAAAGGTAGGTGCTTTCCTCACACATTATCTTTTTTTTTTTTTAGACGAACCGTAACCAATCATGTCGAAAATTAGCAAAAGAGAAAAGCCCACGTGGAGAGAGGTAGGTGCTTTCCTAAGACATTTTTTATTTTTTTTATCCGAGCAGAGCCTACCTTCACATATACCGATGCAATGGTCATGTATATGACCAACAACAACCCCCGCGTCAGTAGTTAGCAAAGGGAGGGAATGACAGTGGAGAAATGTGGGTGCTTTGCTCAGAGAGCCTCTGGCGTCAGTGGTCAGCAAGTGCAAAGAGTCACAATAGAGAAAGGTGGGTGCTTTTCCCACAGACTAGCTGTAATTTTCTTTTTCCTCCAGAGACTATCTTCACATGTAGGCAGCCAATGAACACACACACACCTCTATAGTTCCCATCCATCCATCCATCCATATCGACATCCATCGATCAATTCATTCTGTACCGACGACAACACGTACCCCGGCGGCGTGCGCACACATCTATAGCTCCAAGGCATCAATCCATCAATCCACACATGCATCCATTCATTCATTCTGTGTACACACGCATCTATAGCTCCGAGTAATCCACATCGATTCATTCATCCTGTACAGACAGCAACACGTAGTCAGGCGGCATGCGCACACGTCTATAGTTCCCACCCATCCACCCATCCATCCTGTGCAGAAAACAACACCAACAACAGCAATACATACATGACGACAACACCAACGACAGAAATAGATGCATGGTGTTATGATCCTGGGCATCTTGAAGTGCAATTAACTCAAAAGAAAGACAATGCCACTCAGTGAACTGAAAGAACTTGAAAAGAGAAATAGACAAAGGAAGATGAAGAAACAAGAAGAAGAAGAAGAAGAAGATGTACACCAGTCAATATCCGTCACAATATGCATAGGCCAGGAATGTGAAAGTGTGATACATAAGCAGGAGGTCGAGGGGTGGAGCCCTGGGCAGATCTGAAACATGCACAGCGAACAGCACCGATACAATACGTACATGGCCAAAGAACGTCTTCTCGAAAAGCTGGACCCTGACATCTCCTTCCAACCATACAGGTTTCACATCGATGAACAAATCCCTGCCGCACTTGTCATGGCCAGATACGATGCTGCTATCCTCCTGCGCAACAGCCACCCCACCACATCCAAACCAAGGAGCACCCCCCCACACACACAAAGGGGAACAACACAATTACAGGTCATGAGTTCGAATCCCGCACCACACCACAGGTCATGAGTTCGATCCCAAAAACGAAAACGAAGCCAGGCAGAAGATCCCCAAACACAACTACAGGTCATGAGTTCGAATTCCGCACCACACCACACCAAACCAAACCAAACCAAACCAAACCAGAGAGAAGATCCCCCACACCATGGGGAACACAATCAACAAACTAAAAGGTCATGAGATCATCTGATCCCGAAGCAAACCAGGGAGACGATCCCGCGCAGGGACGGAAACACAATTCAACAAAAACGAAAGGTCCACGGTTCAAATCGCAAACCAAACGACGGAGCGGATACCACGCACAAAGGGGAACACAAGTCAAGAAACTGCAGGTGACGAGATCGAAAAATCGCAAAACAAGCCAGGGAGCATCTCACACACAAAAAGCGAACACAAAACTGTTTTTGTCGACCAAGACGCCGTCCAAGGAATAGAGCAGAAAAACGAAAGCAGCATTCACACACAATGCTTGCGAAACAGATTTTAACAGAATGGTACACACATGCAGCGGTTACACAACAAGAGATCATGAGTTCGAGTCCCGAATGGAAACAATAAGGTTAACGGCTACTTTCTCCCTATCAAGAAAAAGAAAAGAAAAAGAAAAGAAAAGAAAAGGAGAGTGCCAACTGCCCAAAAAAAAAAAACAGCGCACAAAAAACTATGTGGTTGTTAGAGCCACCATATCCAACAACATTGCAAGTAACCACCTTCAAATAAAATAAATAAATAGTAAATAAAAAAAGGGGGGCTCGTGAGAGAGAACAGCTTTGTTTCCAGTCCTATTGTATTATTTTTTGAGATAATTATAGCAAATAACTCGATAAAATTAAGTATATTAAAAAATAAGACTCTTTTTGTATCCCCCCCTCAGACAGACTGTCGTCCTCTTCGCAGTCCCTCCCTCTCCCCTTTCTCCTTTTTTCTTTTCAGAGTTGGCCTCCACGACACGCAACCAATTCTCATCTTACCATTACGAACCCACCCACCCACCCACCCACCCACCCACCCACACCACTCGTTCACACACCCGGACCAACCCCAAACCCCCTTTGGAGGCAAAACAAACAGGCCATGGCTTTGCAGTGTTGCACTCCTTCTGCGACTCCCTTGTCTACGTCAAGGGTTAAGAATGGCATGTGTCAAATTACGCAGAAGTGCGATTGGTTGTTGTCGCAATTTGTAAGGGAATGAACTCTTCGTAGTCGTTACTGACCAAAAAAAAAAAAAAAAAAATCCTAATCATGATTAACAATGAAAGTTGTGCAGTCAGCGGGTCCGGTCTTCTTACCAGAGTAGACACAATGCGCTCCATCTTGTAACTCCCGTTCCCTTTATTGCTGGATATCTCAAAGAAGAAGGCTGTCCTCTCTGCACAAGGAGAAAAGAGTTATGCAGGGGAACATAAGGCCAACTGCCAGAGGAAGTTCTGCTCTTGCCCATGAACCTAGTCGGAATGCCGACCATGTTCATGCTACTGTTGCATCCGGCGTCAACCATAACCGAGCGAGAGGCCCGATTTTCCGCTGACTCTCTACCGGGACCGAGTCTGAATGCTGACCATGTTCTCCTGCACATGAACCTAGTCTAAATGCCGACCATGTTCATGCCCAGCGGACTGCATATTCATGATGCTAGTTACTTTTCACCTAGGCTGCCGGACTGGCCCGGAACAACTTGCCCAGCCGGGCAAAAAAAAAACTAGATTTTTTTATTTTTATTTTTTTTTAGTAAAGAATTTCGATATGACGCTGACGCAAAAGTTGTTCAGTCTATTTTTCTGCAAAAGATAGTTTTTTTTCGTTTTTTTTTTGTTTTTTTTTTCACTGGGACCCTCGGGGGGGAACGGCCGGGCCGCCTGGGAAAACAGGGTGTGACCCGGGCGGCCCAGCTGATAGCCTAGCTTTTCACATCTTCCCCTATGTAAATTAGTTATTAAATTTATTATGGAGCCATTAAAAACAAATTAGTTATTTATTATGCCAGTAGTAGGCACTCAAAACTGTATCAAAGCCCACTTCTGGGCCAGATACGCAATGAGACGGGACAGTCTACATAACTTGTACCAAAGTTCCATTCAGGAGAAAGGCGAGGTGCTCCTCGATCCTGTCCGTCCCTCTGCTCCACCCGGAACCGTTTCTGGTCGTGTATTGTGTCATTGTGTTCCATCTGGAACATTTTTTTTTTGGAACTGTCCCTCGAGTTCCCTCTGGAACAATCAAATCCCTGGCGATGTGGTCTTCGACCCTGCCCCTGTGTTCCATGTGGAACAATTTCTGGTCCTGTATTGTGTTCCATGTGGAACAGTTTTTTTGGAACTGTCCCTTGAGTCCCATCTGGAACAATTAATCCCTGGTCTATTCCTGTGTCCCAGCTGGAACAGTTTTGGGACATGTCTTGTGTCCCATCATATGGAACCAGCTCTGGTTCGGTCCCTCAGTTCCATCTGTAAGAACTAGTCCCCAGTCCAGTCCTGGGCTCCATAGTGGAACAGTTTTCGGTCCCATTTTGTGTTCCAACAGGAACAGACTTGGTACCATTCCCGAGTTCCATCGTCCATGTGGAACAGTCTTCGGTACCATCCCTGTGTTCCATCCTTGCCAGGCTGCCCCTCCACACAGTCCCATTTCAACCAGGTCCCGCTGGAACTGTTCCCCAAGGACGTGGGTATACTACACCTGAGATCGGAACCTATATGGAATTCCAGACCAGGTTCGTGGACAGTAGGGTGAGCTGCGACAGAGACAGCTGGGACCCTGCCTCACCAGTACCGCGTTCATGGACAGCAGGGTGAGAGCAATCCACTGTCATATTGGCCCGCCGGTGCTCATTTTGGCAAGTTGGGAGGACGGAGGAGGGAGGGGGGAGGAGGGAGAAACAAGGAGGCGGGAGGGGCAAGGGCGAGAGGAGTGAGAGGGAGAAGGGCAGTTGACTGAGTGTGAAGGGCGAGGGCGAGGGCGAGAGGAGTGAGAGGGAGGAAGGAGAAACAAGGGGGCGGGACGGGCGAGGGCGAGGGCAAGGGCGAGAGGAGTGAGAGAGAGAGGGAGAAAATGCAAGTGTGAACACCATTTACCTGTCTACCGCTCTGCAGTCTCTAACTCCAACCTGATTCAGCATACGCTTGCAGGCACACGCACCCACGCACGCAAACACGCACGCACACACGCACACACACACACACACACACACACACAGACATATAGAGCAGAGGACAGTGCCCATGAAGAAGCCATGGTCAACCATCTGATGTGACGGCTACCCGCGTACAGCCCTCCATTGATTATGTCCTCCACCTGAGACCAGTAAGTATTCTTAACTCGCAGACAAAAATATTGCAAATCCCTCCCCGACAGCCCACAGCCCACTCCAGACGAGTCAGTCCCTGCAAGTTCCACATAAAACTCTCTCTCTCTCTCTCTCTCTCTGTGTGTCTCTGTCTCTTCCCCCCTACCCCCCCCCCAATAAAGCGTGAACGCACAAACACACATGCAATCACAGTCTCTCCCTCCGCCACACACAAAGCATGCACACACACTCGTACAGATGTACACGACTCACGCCGAAACAAGAGAACCCTTGAGACCTTTACGCTTGGTTCTGTCGTTCTGATGATGGATGGGAAGATCTTACCCACACAGGGAAGATCTTACCCACACACACACACACASACACACACTCACGCACACACACACACACACACACACACACACACACACACACACACAACACACAACACACACACACACAGACATGCACACGCACACCCACCCGCCCACACACATGCGCACTCACGCACGTGCACACACACACACATGCACACCCACACACACACGCCCCCTCCCCCCAAGCACGCACTCAGAGACACACACAGGGTTCAAGCGTCGACCGGCATTCAGTCAGCATCACGACACCCTGGGGAGGATTATGAATTGAGACCCCTCTTCTGTGGTCTACTCTGTAACATGGGAATCGTACAAGAGCTCCAACATTGTTGGCCCTTCGATTGCCAATGTTTTAAACTGAGATAGCGACAGTTTGAAGGGTCGAAAAGAAAATGATGAGGGGAGAGAGGTAGGCAGGTCATAAGAACATGTCGGCACTAGAGGGCCTCACCTTCGCCTTGCGCTTCCACACAGTTTGAAGACAACTTGATGCGAGTCAGCTTTACTTCATTCACCGGACGAGGCCCTTCTGTCATCGACTCATAGAAGTACCTGACATATCGCCGTTGGCTGGCAATGGTCACACCCTACAACAAGTAGCGAACACACAATTACTTACCGTCACACCTCACTTCACACCTGCGTGGCATCGTGTTCGCGTTCGGAGGCGAACATGAACATGTTCGCCCGAACGCGAACGAGGGCCCAAAACCCTCCGAACGCAAACATAAAAAATATACATATTTAAATAAAAAAAAAACTCTCTGAAAAAGAGTACAAGTCGTGTCAAACAACAACACAAAGCAACTTTTGCCTTGAGGAGTCCTGTTCAAATTCTTCGCCGCAAACGTGAGTTGAATATCAAAAACTGAATTTATTCTTACGGAAAAAAAAAAAAAGTTCACCCGCACACGTTCGCGCGCCGTTCGCGCATACGCGGAGGGGCGCGAACACGTTCGTGATCAGCTTCACACACAGTAAGCTCAGCACATGGTTAAACTTTCACAGCCACTGAGCTTTGCACACACAGTTAACTCCACACATCGCACATGGTTAAACTTTCACAACCACTGAGCTTTGCACACACAGTTAAACTCCACACA